TAGGAATATAAAATGGTAATGGAGATCATTGAGGATATGATCTCTACATTACGGGAAGGAATTCACTAATTACTACGGCCCATAGGGGCACCGCCGGAGCTGTTGTTTTGCCATCGGTCCCAGGCAACTCCAGGGAGCTGCAGTACCCGGCGGCTAAAGCGGCCACCTCGTCGACTCGCAGGTCCTGTGGGATTCCGTGATGCTTTAGTGCTTCACCCACAGAAGCACGGGCATAGCAGTAGGATGTGGGGCTAGGTGTCTGTCCACCTCTTCATTGGAAGAACATACAGCGCCTGGTCCCGCCGAAGCTCGGTATCGACCGTGACTTATTCACAACTGGCGGATCCAGGAAGCGGTCTTGGACACTGCGGGGGCTTACCCCAAAAAGGTTTCTCGGAATTAATTTAAAAAAACTCGGATTTCGATTCCTAGCGCACTGCTGTGCAGTGTGATTAACCAACATTTTCTCAGAAAAGTTGTGAAGTTTTCTTTTATTCTCGAAAAGCGATTTCGGGCGCTGCCAATGTGGGGAAAGACATTTGCCCCAAATGCCTTCCCCTGGATCCGCCAGTGGGTTGCCCCACTCCGAGCTTGACTAAAAACGTCTTCAAACCCCACCAGAAACCGATGGTAAGGTGAATTTAAATCCAATAACTCGTCTCTGTCTGCCCGCCTGAATATACAACACATGGTACGGCACCCGGCCCTGTCTGAGCTATGAGCCGATCGTGATATTTTCGGCTTTCCCCATCCCAAGCTCGATTAGAAACGTTCTCCTTCCCCACCCGATTGCTGATGTCAATTCAAATTCAATACCTCATCCCTGTCTGCCCGACCATAACCCATTCATTGCACACCGTTCAGCGCCCGGCCCTGCCAGAAGTATCCTAGCGCGCTGAGCAGTTGCCTCCAGCCGCGTCATCGCGAGGCCCCGCGCGGCCCATAAATTAATGCATTGCGCGAATAGCCGTGTCGCCCCCCTGGGTCGGGGTGAAAGCGGCGTTGAAGGCGGCGTCTGGCGCTTCTGACTGCGTCTTCGGAGGCGGCCAATGGGAAGCCTAGGACGAGCTCGGGTATCCATCTTGGCAGCCCTGCCTCATCGAGTAACGGAGTTACATCGAAGGGTGGAGCGGCCGGCTCCTCCTCCCCGTCGGGAACAGCGTACGCGGCGCTCATGAGTACGTGACTGCAACTGACCCTGACCTCTCCGCCCGGGTCCGTCGGTACCTGGACGGGCGGTCAGGCGCCCGGGGCACGGTCACGTGACCTAATGAGCGTTTGATTGGCTCTCGCGGGCGGAACGGCCAAGGGGAGGGGAATCGCGGAGTGGGGCGTCAAAGGGAGAGTGTGCTAAGTAGGTACTGATATTTGTTACTGCGTTGCATTTGCGAACCTCCATATAGTGAAGGCCGAAAATGTCACGATCGGCTCAAAGCTCCGACAGGGCCGGGTGCCGTACCATGTGTAGTATATTTAGGCGGGCAGGCAGAGATGAGTTATTGGATTTAAATTCACCTTACCATCGGTTTCTGGTGGGGTTTAATTGTGGACGTTTTTAGTCTAGCTCGGGGTGGGGCAACCCACTGGCGGATCCAGGGGAAGGCATTTGTGGCAAATGTCTTCCCCCACAACCGGGGTAGCGCCCGGGATCGCTTTTCGAGAATAAAAGAAAACTTCACAACTTTTCTGAGGAAATGTTGGTTAATCACACTGAACAGCAGTGCGCAAGGAATCGACATAAGTTTTTTTTTTAAATTCATTCGGAGAAACCTTTTTGGGGTAAGCCCCCGCAGTGTCCAAGACCGCTTCCTGGATCCGCCAGTTGTGAATCAGTCACGGTCGATACCGAGCTTCGGCGGGACCAGGCGCTGCATACCTACGTTGTACCTACAATGAAGGGTGGACAGCTAGAGACACCTAACCCCACATCCTACTGCTATACCCGTGCTTCTGTGGGTGAAGCACTGAAGCATCACGGAATCCCACAGGACCTGTGAGTCGACGAGGTGGCCGCTTTGGCCGCCGGGTACTGCAGCTCCCTGGAGAATTGCCTGGGACCGATGGTAAAACAACAGTTCTGGCGGTGCCCCTATGGGCCGTAGTAATTAATGAATTCCCGTTATGTAGCCTCGTAGAGATCATATCCTCAATGATCTCCATTACGATTTTACAGTGTTGCCGCTATGGTACGATTGTACCAGATCTGGTATGTACATTTCAACACTTTCTGGTACGCTGGTACACTGAGGCCCAAATCTGGTACATTTCACGGTTTCGCGGAAGCATTTCTTTTTTACGTTAAATTTATATATTTCTGCCTCCAAAAATCAGTCAGAATCAATATTAAAACGAATATGTTGTAACAGGAAGACCACTTAAATAAGCATCTTCCTAAGCATATTCCTAAAATTCGTTTTTTTTCAAAACCGGTTTGAATCCAAGTACATGATTTTTTGACTATTGTGATGTTTCGAATATGATGTGTATTGTGTAACTGTATTAGACATCTTCTGTTGTATCATGCCATTATGCCAATATGCTTTGTCCCTATATGATGGGATGTTAAATAAAATTGATTGATTGATATAAGCACGCGGTTTACCTACCCAGCGAAATGACCAAAAACTGAGCTTGAGAAAATCGAACGTCGCCTTATTTTAACATGTGATTTATTCCCCATAAATTCCATGCGTACTTTTTAGAACTAAACGGCCGGAAAAAACATTGGAAAAGTGATGATGTCATGCTGTCGAACTTGCATTGCAATGTAATGTATAACCAGTAGGTACCAGAGTTCAGTGCCAGTACCTATTACTAGCATGGACAGAATTGTTTACTCCGTTGACCGTTCTGACCTCGGTAACAATGAAACTGAAATTTTCCTTATATTCGTCGACACATTAAGTCACCGTAGGAATATTAGCTGCCAGCTGCCACAAGTGACATCATCATAGTATGATAATTTTTGAAGATACAATTTGCATGTATTTACCGAGCATAATTTGAAATTGAATATTCTACCGGTAATAAATTATTGGCCAGACGCTGAAGCTGCCAAAACTAACGTGAGAGCTTCGATAATGAACTTGGAGCCAAACCGGTGTTTAAAAAAACGAACTGGATCCAAACCAGTGTTGAAAAAAACGAACTATAACTATATTCCTTAGCAATATAGTAGGTATGAGAAGTTCGAATTATTTTTAGCCTGACTTACGTAACATCAATGCGGTTAAAGCAAATCATATTATGAAGTGGATACGGACAGCAGATGTCGCATATATCCAAATATGAGCACAAAACACAGGAATTGACCGGAATTGATGTAGAATCTTGCTGATCTATGACGTTCTGGTGTATTTTATACAATGGTACATAACTTGGTACATTGGCATACCCCATATGGTACGAAATAGCCTCGTTTTGGTACATTTTCACTCAGAATCTGGTACGTGTCGAAAATTCCCAACGGCAACACTGCGATTTTATATTCCTAGACAATATGACAGACCAATTATGCTTGCCTACGTTCAGGCATTACCTTTGATGGCTATACGCCCAGTGCATGTGTTGTCTGTCAAACAACAATGGGATCCCTTCTCATCATCTCTTAAACCATCGGTTGTCAATTCACCCACCCCGTTTCCCTAAAAATAGACGGTCAGATTCGGCCTGGGTCCTTACGACCCCTCTAGATTCGCCAGAGACGGGATCGGGTCGCCGTTATTGCACCCGTCTTAGTGTCTTTAGATACATAGACAGCTTCGACCACAAACATCGGACGGGGTGATGGTTCCACGCATGTACGCACCATCCAGGCCTAGGATGCATCGAGGTTTAAAAGAATGCAGTCTGTATATCAATCAACATAACAATGGAGGTATGCAGCAACATTAAAATATCTCCCCGGCTCCCGCAACGTTCCAACGCCCCTCCGTTGTGCATTCGCCTTATGTGTCCGCCGAGCCGGCTTGCCTCCAATGACGTCACCGGCCGGCCGGCCGGCAGCATTCAAGGTCAAACAGCTGGTGTCCTTACCTGGAGTTCTATAGCCTTGGAGCTGCTGGTCACAAATAGGCCGGTAAGGGCCCTTAAGAGGCCAGAAAGTATTTGTATTTATTTGTATTGTATTTATACTGGAAACTCTCCACAGGTGGCTATTACGAGCAGGGTTGCCAGACTTGGCGATATGTCGCCAATTTGGCGAATTTTGGAAGTCATCGGCGATAGAAGCACGGCGTTTGGCGATAGGCGATAAAACGTCAAATATTGGCGAATTTCACGGACGTTTATTTATACGTCCGTGGCGAATTTCCAAAGTTCGCCTCCAAATCACCTAATATTATTTTTAAAAATAAACAAAACAAAGCAAAAAACATCGTTACGAAATGTTTCGTAATCTGATTAATTTAACCTTCCAACGTTTCATATTAGGCACTCAAATATAAAATGTTCCTGATGAAAATATCTTCTGAACCACATCTCGCACGACCTTTGCTCAGGGGTGGAGATCTGTCAACATGTCAGGGGGGTCCAGGCCGGGCAGATGGAGGCGGGCTGGATGCAGTACCATTGACTTACATAGCAGTAATTCGTTTTCAGGGGGGGGGGGTCCTGACCCCCCCCCCCCCCGAGATCTCCACCTCTGCCTTTGCTATTTTATTTGGCGCTGGTTAAGGTACGCTGTTATGTAGATGAATATGAGAAACGAGATAGGTAAATCGTGAACTTGGAAACGAATGGTGAACACGGTTACACGAACGCCAACTTGCGCTGCTACGTATGCTTATACAGTGCATCCCAGGGCACTAAAGAGTCGGGTACTCCAAAGTTTTTCCTAGTATATACTAGAATTATACTATATCATCTAGAAATGCAACTAGAACTGGGAGCTTTTTACTACATACCGAAAATTATCCTAGGATATGGCTGCGCTGAAGCGCGGCGCAGCTGGTGCTCGTGTTTCAATACATTGCGCTTCATATTTATACACAAGGCGGCCTGTGGTTTCACGCGGTTCCATGGTGTTCTCCCTTCATTTAAAGACTTACAAATTGTGCTGGCTAAGTATTTAATAACTATCGTGGGCATTAAAAAATTGGCTCTTCATTATGCATGGAATTGTGTGAACAAAGGCCTTTCTGAGTAACTGTGTGCAAATTTGTAAACTGCTGTATTTGACTGGGTGGTGGGCCAGCCTCATGCTTTCTCATTCTTTCACTGTTGCGTTACAATGTGTTGAAAAGAAGTTTCAAGGAATTTTATCAATTGTGATGCATGGCGACACCTTTCGACTTAGCTGTGAGCATATTTGGTATAATCGTATCGCAAAGATTGCGTACACCGGCTTTATCTGTTTGCAATGGCAGCTTTCGTATGACATTTGTGTATTGTCTTTTCTATGTTGGTCACTACTCGTTTGTATGTATTTTTAGAGCCCTGACAGGCTGATGAAGGAAGACTGAAGTCTTCTGAAAGCTATCATTACTAAGAAATGAAGCTGGTGTTATGACTTATGAACAGTGAACAGTGTCCCAAAATTGTATTTCAGAGTGAAAAATTGTTCTTGAAAATTGGAGATGAAAGTGGAAAATTGATTTCAGTTGGATATCATTCCCCACCCAAAACTGACAAATTTTGGGACATTGGTTTTGAACAAACTTAACGATACAATATCACTGTCCCAGGCTCTAGCTGAATAACATCAACATATAACATAATACTTTGTGTAAGCATCTCGTACAACTGTGTTGCTGACTGCTGTGATAATGAAATCAAAACACATGCATCCTGCATCCATGAAAGTGGATAGTAAGTAGAAAGAAGCATTTGTTGCCACATGTTAGTGATAATTGTGCAATTTCTTGGTAATTTTAGTTTGTATGAAAACGCGTAAGATTTAGGTGATTGAAACTAATCATGAAAGATAATTTTTAGGTCAATTTTTACCTTTTCTTTTTTAATGCTGTTCTTGATATTCCACTTCACTCAAAACACACCAGTTCATAAGTTATTTCAGGGCTTTCACAATAGCCATGTCTTTGTGGTCAATCATCCTCAGAGCAGCCTGAGTCAATTCCATTCAAGACTTCCTTAGCCATATATCTCTGATCCTTTTTCAGGACAAGACATGCACTACTACATGTATGCTGTGCCTGGCTCAAGATTCCTATATGTAGCCAGGCTGCCCTACCGACACTGGCAAAATGAATGCTTCCTTGAACAAAGCTAACCAAAGGTGCCATCAACGGTCTTAATCTGAACAGGAAGGAAGCCTAGTTTTCAACATAGACAACAGCTTGTGTGAAGCTGTCACTTTCAGGGTGTGCACCACCCAGTGTTCATTTGTTAACATCAATAATGTGTGACCACGAAAGGAAACCCTTCTCAAGGTAACATCTCTCGCCTATTCTAAGATCCTGTTAACAACCCACTACCTTAATATTAACAGGTCTTTTAAATAACCATGCATTAACTATTCCTCTGATAATGCTTGTTATGTTTTCAAATAGGTTCATGTTCTTTCATTCTGATTTTTCAAAGATAAGTATCACTTGAGTTTGTTTTTATTGCAAGTGTGATGCATGTAATTTCATCTTCATGTTTTCTCAGATCGAAGATCCTGCTCGCAGCTATGCCTCATTGCCTACCATGGCCAAAACCTCTGAGGTTTACCGTAGTGTTCTCCGTCTGATTGTTATGTGTTGAGGATGAGCTGAATGTTACTGATATTGATACCTGATATCTAATTGTGGTCAATGTTTAGTGCAATACCGTGACATCTTCCAATGCCAAAGTTTATTTCCAACGAGCCAAAGCTTATTTGCATTGCAATTACGAGCGGTAGTGTGATGTGTGGAACGTGTAGTAAGTACGATTGGGAACCACTTACTCTGTAACCCAAAGTGGCATGTTTGGATATATGAGAATGTTCAATATTCATCGTCTTTAGATAATAAAAGCATTGGCATACCAGGAAGTGGATTGTTCGGTAGTCGCCTAAAATGGTATCAGAGCTGCAATTTTGACACCATCGTGTTCGTGATGCTCAGCCACGTCGTATGATATGCTTTTTGTATGGGTGAGGTCAATTTAGGATGTTGACCTCCGTCCAAGGTCAGGTCAGGTCATTACCTCATGATGAGATCAAGTTGCACGTTATTCAATTCGGCAGGTCTGAGTCTATTTGTGTCTTTTCCGACTAAGATCACTGTCAGCGCCAAAATAGATGTCTCTATATCCCCCCCCCCCCCCATCGGCTTATAATGGCCAGATCACCTGACCGACCTGACGTTAGGTGACCCTTAGGAGAAATCCGAAGTTAACGACTTTTGAGAATAAGGGAGTTTGATAAGTTCTGTAAGTTTCATCTACCTGTGATAGATCTCCTTGAATTGATGGAGTTGCTATGTTACGTTTTTTAGACCGTGCAGAGTAGAGTTACAAAGTTTTCCCTATGGGCTGCTACCGGCACCGCCCCGCCCCACAAAAATTTTCTGGGACACCGGCATGCTACCACGCCCCAAGCAAAAACACCGTCAAATTACCGGCATACTTAAAAACCTGCATTCTTAATTCTGGCTTACCCCTACTGAGATGCCACATTTTGGCAATTTCAGTTACCGCCCCACCCAGCAGCCACCCATTGTCCAACCAAAACTCCAGCAGCCTGATTTTGGCTGAGTTAGCCCCACAAATACCACAATTTTGAAACTCAACTCCAGTTTACAGCTGTTAAAATATCACCTGGAATCAAAGAGGTATTGCCTACAAAAAGCCTACACACATTCATCAAAAAAGCAAGGTCAAAAAGAACTTGAATTACTGAAATGTGTTCCTGAAGACTGCACAGTGAGCAGCAATCACATTTACCACAAGCGTTCTTATTTTCCACATTACCCTAAAATGAACTATAGCTAGTCATAAATCACAATATAAAAAAACTACAGATTAAGCCATGTTCCTAACTGAGGTAGCGAGATCAACATCTGCTTTTTCCTATCCGCCATGGCTTGCTGGCTCGTGAGTAAGATACGAATCATGTAAAAATATGTGTTAATAACTCACTTGTCCTGAGAAGTCACCAAATAATATGTATAAAAACGATATAATATCCTCTCCCATCTCAAACGCAGGAACAAACACAAGGTTATAAAGGATCGAAACATATGCGCCATAACACAGTTTTTAACCAGCTGATTAAAACACTGCAAAAAAAGTTTTAGGACTGCAAACTACTGCCTCGTGAATGATTTTTTTGATAAAAATCATCCAACACGATATTAAAATCCAATAAAATCAACACTGTGAGTGTTATTCACTACAAGAAAATCCACTTCTCTTGAGTAATTCAACCAAAAGGGCATATGAATAAATATTACGTCATCAGCTTACATCCTTTTTTTTAGGGGACAGAGGATCTTAAAAGTCAATCCTTGGTTGCTTGATCAGCTGATCATATTGCGCCACTTTGTATTCATTTGGTCTGCATGTTGTGTTTTCTTGTAAAGATAAGACAAAATGCCAGTTTAATTCATTTTCATTTCATTTTGGGACCGAAGTTAGGCTCAGGGCTTCCTAACACCTGCCTTTTCAGCTGGATTTTCAGTGTCAAATTCTTTGTAGAGTATCTCAGACCACATCTCAGGACTCAAGGCCAGTTTCCAAACAATGTGTTTTGTGTTGTTTTGATTCTGCATTTTGCCTAGGGAATGTTGCCATCAACATTAATTTATTTTATTGCATTATACCTATTACCTACCATTAGACTTACTAATTGGTTGTGCTTTTGCAACATGAATGAGTATTCTTCCTTTGATAGACCACAGTACCTAGATTCTTGACAATTCTTATTAGAGCCAAACCTGTGAAATGCTGAGGTTCATGTGTACAATTACCCTTAGCAATGGAACTTCTACCACAAAATGTATTTTGCAGTGGCTAAGATTGCTGTTATTACAATTCAATAGCCTCTTAGTGTCCAAAGTTTGAATCATTTGCTGATAATTTTTTTTTTTTTGGTGCAAAATCAAAAATACCGGCATGCTACCGGCAGAATGCCAAATACCACGAAAAAACCTGCGGTAGTGAAAAATTACCGGCATGCCGGTAGTGCGGTAGGGAAATTTTGCAACTCTAGTGCAGAGGTTCACTTATGACGTCATAGGTCAGTGACCTGACCTGACCTGAAAATGAGGTTGGTGCCACAAAATTCGGCTTGAATCAAAGGTCAGGTATGCCAACTTACAACCCTCCATCACCAGCGCGCTCACCCCTACTTTACTTTGCAGCAATGGTTTGCCGCACATTAACGATAAAAGTTTTGATCTGTCCGAGATTCGAACACAGGACCTTCCGATGTATCAAAAAAATGGGGTCATATATAGACGAATATCTCGAAAACGGTTGGATGGGCTTGAACTTTTCGTCCCAAAAATGGAAATAAAAATGTTGTAGCTATCTTTTGACATACTTTGTATGTGGATGCCCACACTACGAAACCTTGAAAATCGAGCGCGAAAAGTCGCATTTTAACACGCAACCCTATGGGCTAGTAGGAAAAGTCACGCCCATGCTGCCATATGACTTTGGAGGGGGCTGAGTGCATCCGTTCCATGTCGTTTCGCACAGCCGAGTAGTATTTGGACGAGGATACATTAGTGTTGACGACTTGCCGGCGGCCGCTTGATCCTGTCTCTGAACAGTCGTTAGCGGAGGCACCTCCTTCACTCGACTCTTCTTCTTGACCACCTTGACCACCACAAGGCCATCTATAGATGGCCTTGTTGGCTACCGGGAAGAGGACCGTCAGCAATCAGCTGAAGCTGCAGTGCGGAGTCTCTGGCTTGCATCAGGGTATATAGAACAACGGGTACACCAACGACGCGGAAAGCGCCCATTTTACATGGACAAGTTACAGGGTAGGTGATATATTTTTTGTTTATCGAAAAAATAGAGTATTCCATTCTGAAGAGTAAAGCCAAATTCATAAAGCAGTTATTTTTAAATTATATGTACCAGAAATAACATACTAACCATAGTTTAAAACTTAGTCTAAAGTTAGTTGAAAAGCGTATAGTTGATACTAAAATGGAAGGAATCAATGGAAGGCGGAAATGGCGCAGCTGTTTCATTCTTGAAATGTGTTCGCAAGCAGGATTTACGTGATGTTAGCGACATCTATGAATGTAATCGTGGATGCTGATTGGCTGAGCGAGTCCGTGAGCAGTATCACTAATTTACGCTTGTACAGGGTTGAGGCAATGTGCGCATGCGCAGGAACTTGTGCTCTCATGGAGAGGCTTTTGGTACCTCGGGCAGCGCCCAATGCTTTTTGGGCCTGTTATGCCCTCCGCATCGAAAAACGCTAGATAGAAGGGTTGTAGAGGAAGCTTGAGGCTACCTTTCCCCACAATAATATTGGCACTTTATCTATTAGCTTACGTATGGGGCTCGCTTGAAAAAGGTCGATTTAACATGGAAACTAGAGTTGCAAAATTTCCCTACCGCACTACCGGCATGCCGGTAATTTTTCACTACCGCAGGTTTTTTCGTGGTATCTGGCATGTCTTGCCGGTAGCATGCCGGTATTTTTGATTTTGCACAAAAAAAAATTATCAGCATATGATTCAAACTTTGGACACTAAGAGGCTATTGAATTGTAATAACAGCAATCTTAGCCACTGCAAAGTACATTTTGTGGTAGAAGTTCCATTGCTAAGGGTAGGGGTAACACATGAACCTCAGCATTTCACAGGTTTGGCTCTAATTAGAATTGTCAAGAATCTACTGTGGTCTATCAAAGGAAGACAAAGAATGCTCATTCATGTTGCAAAAGCACAACCAATTAGTAAGTCTAATGGTAGGTAATAGGCATAATACAATTACTAAAATAAATAAATGTTCATGGCAACATTCCCTAGGCAAAAGGCAGAATCAAAACAACACAAAACACATTGTTTGGAAACTGGCCTTGAGTCCCGAGATGTGGTCTGAGTCCTGAGATACTCTACAAAGAATTTGACACTGAAAATCCAGCTGAAAAGGCAGGTGTTAGGTAGCCCTGAGCCTAACTTTGGTCCCAAAATGAAATGAAAATGAATTAAACTGGCATTTTGTCTTATCTTTACAAGAAAACACAATATGCAGACGAAATGAATACAAAGTGCCGCAATGTGGCGCAAAGGCAACCAAGGATTGACTTTTAAGATCCTCTGTCCCCTAAAGAAAGGATGTAAGCTGATGACGTAATATTAATTCATATGCCCTTTTGGTTGAATCACTCAAGAGAAATCAATTTTCTTGTAGTGATAAACACACAGTGTTGATTTCATTGGAATTCAATATCGTGTTGGATGATTTTTATCAATAAAATCATTCACGAGGCAAAAGTTTGCAGTCCTAAAACCTTTTTTTGCAGTGTTTTAATCCGATTGTTAAAAACTGTGTTATGGCGCATCTGTTTCGAAACATTTACCTTGTGTTTGTTCCCTCGTTTGAGATGGGGGAGGATATTATATCGTTTTTAATATACATATTATTTGGTGAATTCTCAGGACAAGTGAGTTATAAAGTATAAACACATATTTTTACATGATTCGTATTTCGTATCTTATTCACGAGCCAGCAAGCCATGGCGGATGGGATGGCCTTGGCGGATAGGAAAAAGCTGATGTTGATCTCGCTTCCTCAGTTAGGAACATGGCCGGATCTGTAGTTTTTTTTATATTATGATTTGTGACTATCTATAGTT